GCTGTAGTTAATGTGACAGATATGTAACGTGTCCTCTTGGCGTTCAGACCATGGAGGAGGTTGTTGTCAACATTGTCGAAATGCTCCAAAAGTCTTTCACTATTTCAGAGGTGACAGAAATATATCTAGCTGTGAATGAATCCCAGTTTTCACTTTTAGGTAAGATTTGCAAACCGTAGCAAGACTTTTTTGTCCACAGAAGCAACATTTTTGGCTTAATGTGAATGAAGCAACTTCTAAACACATTTGCTACATTACATAGGGGAAATCCCTAATACATTCAAGATGGACCCCGAAAAAACAACAATGAATAGCCACTGCACTGACAAGTAGCAAACTGCCACTGCAACCTGTTTTAAATTGATTAACCTGATTTTAATCTTATTGAGGTAAGCCCTGCTTCAATTTTTCTTTCCAACTTTCTCCCTGGCCTGCCTGCTGTGTTCTGTAGTCTCCATAATGTTGTTTGTTCTCTACAGTTTTCTAACAACCCACTGAGGCCTTCACATGACAACTGGATTTCTCCAAAGCTTTGTTGTCCACAGATGGACTCTAAGGGTTGTATACTGAAACATATTTAATTGAGGGATGTTAAGGAGGATTAACTGTAAATACACACCACACGTTTCAGATTTTTATTTGTACATTCTTTGTTTAAACCAGGTGTCACTGTCATTCTGCTTTATAATTTGCACCACTTTCCTTTAAGACTATGTATGATAAAATGTGAGAAAGTTAATGGAGTCTGAATACATTTTTAGAGTGCTTTATAATTCAATATGCGGCATTTATTCATCCAACACTTAAAGCTGCTTTTCATCTTGGTCTGCTGATTCTTATTAATACTGCTGCATTACTTAAAATTTCTTAAAGGTAAAGTGGAAGATGTTATTGTTCTGGGTGAATCATCAAAATAAGTGATCATTCTAATTGTCAATCATTCTGGTGATATGTTTACCTAAAACTGTCCTATGTGCTCGTCCCCATTTTCACTTACTGGTGGTGAGAAATCCTCCACTATACCTTTAAGCTTTACTTATTTTTGTGAAATATAACTTTATTCATAGATTGACTGAAAATGAAAGGGAAGATTCAGGCTTACTGGAGTCATTTCTTTATGAATACATTTCTATTAAAATATAATTTCCAAATCTTTTAAATGTTGAACTTTTTTATTTTTTAGAATTTTTGACAAGCTGATTGCTAACCTTTCTGCTTGTAAATGACCTGGTGATGGATTGCCTTTTTTAGAATCGCTCAACTCTTAGTGGATGCACAGAGCTATCCACTTCCACAGCACGGCTGTGCTTTCTCCCTGCAGTCCTACCTGCCTCTGCAGCCTCTGGGGTCTCAGGTTTTGGACCTTCTTCAGAGGATCAGCTCCCTCCAGGAATGGATTTCCAAAGGAATTCCAGCTGTTTTCAGGACCAGCTGATTCTTATGTCTACAGGCCTTCCTCGTTCTGCCTTCCTCTCAGGATGATGCTCGTCGCTTTAGCACAGCTACTGAAACACTAAGATCACCTCCCCTATTTTTGATGCACTAAATTCAAACGTCTTCATCTAAAATCTCCATGATTGAAGATTTTGCTTTGATTCAACACCCCCTTAGGTTTGGAGTTTTTCTGAAATATAAGCAGTGTTCATATGCAGGTTCGGAAAGTCTGGAATCTGATTTCAAATTTTGACATCCCCTCATTCCTTATTATCTTCCTTAATGTCCTCTCTTCCTTGTGTCCTTTTTTCTGTCCATCCATTTCTTCCCCTCATTGTGTCATATCTTTAAACCTTTATTTGTGTCCTTCTTTAGCTGTTTCTGTCCCTCCTTCCTTGCATCCATACTTGTTCCTTTTTGTATCTTTCTTCATTTTGTTTTTTTCCTCACCACCTTTTGTCCTGTCTTTTTCCCTTTTTTTTTTTTTTGCTTCCTTACTGTTTTCACTCCTTCTTTGGTCAAATCATTCTTGTGGACACCATTACCCTTCTCCACCTTTGTTTTGTCCTGTCTGTATTCCTTTTCCTTAACTCATTGGGTCCTTCCTTTACTTAATTTTTTCATGCTGTTTATTCCTTGTCCCGCTCTTTATTTCTTCTGTTCTTCCTTCCATCTTTCCTTTCTTCAGTATAATCTACCAAATGCAGAAACATGGTCAACAAAATTTACAAAAAGATAAAATATCAAAAATTTTTTAAATGAATCTCAAGAACTGAGAACCTGTTAATTTATCATACATTCTTCAATGAATCCACCACTAGGTGCTTGTGAAACCAGTATCAGAGGTAACAGCAATACCACAAGCTGCTACATCCATGGTCTATTTCTGGAGGAGGTTTGTTAGCGTATAGTCGGCTAACATAAACCAAGTCTAAGGAGGTTCACCCACATGTGGCTGTTATCCAATGAATCCCCAAAAGCCAAACTGCAAACATTCCCTTTCCACGGTCTCTCCCATCCACAGGACCCTCAGTTGAGCTGGGCAGTACATATGGAGAGAAAAAAAGTAATCCCAGAAAAAAAATGTTGATAATAAAATTATAAACAATTATAAAGCTTGAATACAAGCACAGTCAATGCTAAACCCAGGATTTAAACTCTGTCACCTAATGTTGTCCCTGGCAGCTGAGGATATTACTCAAATGTTTGTGTGCACCTCCTTCTAGTGGTTTTATTACTCATTCAAAATAGACTCCAGTTGGTTTCGAGTTTCATGAAGCCTCTAAAAGTGCAGCTCTGCATTTTCCACGCACAGCACGAATCCCACACCTTATGCTATTTCATTAATTTATTCAGAGCCTAAATATTTTAACATTTAAAATACATTTTATTGCCCTACTGGAAAAAAAGTACTACCAGGTACTTTGTGCATCTGACAAATAAACTTGAACTCTTGGCACCTCTACAGCACAGACAGGACAAATAAGGTATGATTTATGTCTTCCTAAACTGTGGAATGACCTGCCTCTATACACCAGACAGACTCCCACTGTAGGCGTTTAAAGTCTCATCTAAAAAACGCAGCTTTACTCATCTGCTTTGGAATCATCATGTTTATTTTATTCCTTTATCCCTTGCTGCCACCTCTGTACTCTCTGTACTACATAACACTAATATAATAGATCATCTTTGAATGTAATTTATGGAAGAGTGTTAAACTAAGGGGCTATTCATCCTGTTTAAAAAATAACTTCCTTTTTTGAGCTAAAACATTACTTTCAGTTGTTTATACCTGGAAAACTAGGTAAGTGTTAAATACAGGGACAATTAACTCAGAAAACCAATGTAGTTGTTATCCTTAACTTTAGTTAGTTCAGCTTACTTTCATGTTTTTGCTGTAAAATGTTGGAATACAGGGTTGGCTTATGAGTTAGAGATTCAAAGTTCTTTTAATGTTTAATTTTAATAAAATAAAATGAAGCTAAAGATATGCTGTTAATCTAAACTAATCTAATCAGGAACTGTGCATCAGCTGTGCTGCTTCCATCAACACCCTTGTTTATAGATGTTGGAGACCGGCCTGTTTTCCAGTGTGGTCCTGTTTCTCTGACCGTGACTGAGTGGATGTGCTCTCTTCGTCCTCTGGCATGGGAGCTGGCTCGGAGCTCGTCTGCCTGGCTGTGTGTTTCCTGGACGGGGCCGCCTTTTACAGCTGCTTTTTGTGTCTCTGCTTCTGTCTCCTTGAACCCCAGTCGGCCTCGGCAGATGGCCGCTCACACTGAGCCTGGTTCTGCTGGAGGTTTCTTCCTGTTGAAAGGGAGTTTTTCCCTCTCCACTGTCGCTACAAGCATGCTTAGTGTGAGGGATTGCACTTGAATCAATGAGTCAATGCAATCAACTGGTTTTCCTTAGATAGAAAACTTTCTATCAATTTGACTGTATGATCTGGTTGAACTGTAAAGTGCCTTGGGATGACATGTGTTGTGAATTTGGCGCTATATAAATAAACTGAATTGAATTGAATTGAACTATATGGAGTGGCCCAGATGTCGAGCACAGTACTTGCAGCAATCTTTAAAGTTGAAGGTTAAAGACTCCTGTATTTGTGTCTCTAAAAACAAAATGGAGTTTTGTAAAAAAAGTCTTTTTTTTTATTTATTCTATATAAAATGTAGGCATATTATTTTTAAGTAAGGGAGTTTAGAGATTTGTAGGGAAACCAAACTTCAAAATTTGCTAGTTTGTTTGCTAAACATTTTCAGTGCCACCCTTTTTTTTACAGTGTATATAAATGCAAAGCATATGTTTTAGATTTTAGATCCAACATATATCATCATAAGATCCTATTCACACAGTGTGCTGTGTTATAAAATACCTATAAAATATAGTTGTGCTTGAAATTTTGCAAGACAGAGTAGATGGAGCTGAAAACACCATTGATAACTCTGATCTTTTTAATGGAAATAACATCTTTGAAGTAAGCTTTGGCGTTTTTTATTTTTGCCTGGAGGTTTAATCATCAATTCTCTCTGCAGGTCGAGTTAAGTGCTTATTTCCGTCTCGGTCCTTTGAGACTGTCTCATAGGTCAATGGAGAAACGCGACTTGACAGAAGGAGGGTGGCGCTTAAACAAACGGTGACAGTGACTGGCCATGTGAATGTAACTAGAGCTCAAGACCAACGGGAAATAGATCAGCAGGGTCAACAGATGATAAGTCTTCACAGAGATCTGATTGGACTTTAATAGTCGCTTTTATTTCGGATATTTCAGATTAACCGGCGAGGAAACAGTTCTGACCGGAACAGCCTGTGGCGCATAAAAACAAAACAGGCGCGTAGTTTAAGGAAACATTCAAAACCATTCTAAGACTAAATTATAAATGAGATCGACTTTTATAAAAAGAAGACAGCGTGGATTATAGTGGTGACTTCCCTGAGGATTAGTTATCCAGCATAAGCAGATGTGTGATTAGTGGTTAGGGTCCGGATCTCTCAGCTTTTACGCGTGAGCGATCAAGGAACTTGGGTGATTTTTCTTCTCAGACTCGCTTCAATCCGGTGTGATCATGCTTCAAAATGGTAACGGGAAGGAAAAACCGCCTCAGCCAACAAACACAGGTGGATCTGAAGCAGATCCTTCTTGTGACAAACCGAAGCAGCAGGCTGGGGACCCAGCCGAGGACAGGAGGGCCACGGACCCCGGGGCCACGCACTTCCCCATGCCTGCTTATCCCAAACTGGAAATAAAGCGCAACGCAGTGACTGATGACTACAAGATTTCCACTCAGGTTCTGGGTTTGGGAATCAACGGCAAAGTTCTGCAGTGCTTCAATAAGAGGACAGGAGAGAAGTGCGCTCTGAAGGTAGCAAAGTCATTTGGTTTATTATAGAAACTTGAGGAACAGGTTGGTTTAAACATATGCTGATGAAGATTCTCAGTCATCCAGGTCGGAATGTTGGTTTAAACTGATCAATTATGTAATAAGGGCATTTTAAAGATTCTGTCCAGCAGATCTGATCGCTATTCCTGATTGGAATCCATCTTGTTATCTATTTTATTTTGTAATTTAAGATATATTTGGTCTTCAAATTAGAGTTTTGAAAAGCTACCCTTTATAACTAAGGCTCTGTTACATGGAAACGTGTAATAACAGGATTTCCTAAAGTGTAACAGCACTGGGAAAAAAATTAAAATCTAGATAAGTCATTTTTTCTTAAAATAAGTGCATTTGTTTTTGGATTGAGGAGGTAAAAGAGACATTTTGCCAATGGAACAAGACAATTTACACTTAAAAAAAGAAAACACAACTACACTGTCTTATTTCAAGTGCATATTATCTAATTATCTTAATTCAAGAGTAAAATACTAATTCCATTTGCAAACTACCTACTCAAAGTAAGGATAAATACACTTAATTTAAGAAATTTTTAATTATTTCAAGATTGTTTTTCCAGTGAGCAGTATTTTCCATTACTAGCATCTTATATGGGGATATTTTATCAGAAATCTTTTTAAAACTTACCTATTATCTTTGTTAATATGTCTGTAAAACAAGAAACCTGTTAAAATATCAAGAAGTTTAACATATCCTACTGGTGTGAAAACTGTGGTGTGTTTTAATGGTTGGGATTACTAGATAAAATATGATGCAATCACCTGAATTCAAATCCCCCTCAGCTGGTAGACAGAGTCTCCCTGTCTGTTATTATAGTAAAAGAACAACCGCGGTTATGGAGACCACATAGTTTTTTAGAGAACATAGCAGGGCATCATCATGACCAAACCAGACAGGACAATGATAAGATAACTGAGATGTTTAGTCCATCATCTGAGCATAGAAAGACTTTGACTCAACTGTAAACCTACTCCAGCTTTTTGGATGACTTGGTTTCAAATGTGGTTTTACCTGCAAGTACCGGAAACTAAACCATTAATAAAACAGCTGTATGTATGTATGTTAAAGGTCCTACTTAGATATTTCTTGAAAATGTAAAGAAATAGGGCTTTAAGTCTGAGTTTTCTGTCTAGACTGTATATATCATCAAACGCATAGTAAAACTTTCACTGTGATAGAAGTGTCCGATATCTGCAGATAAAAGGAACATCTTGGTTTTGCTTAAATAAAGTACTTTTTAAAGGGGGCAAAAATTTGGTAAATTCATATTTAGAGACAATAAGCTGGAAAGCTACAGGTGACTTGTTTTCTGCTGGTATGTTAATCGTTTAAAGGGTTAGCTATATCATTGCCACAATAGATAAAGACTTTTAAGACTTTCACGTGAGGATGAATGTGAAAATATTTTCTCAGTGCATATATCTTGAACAGATGTAGATAAGATCCAGCTGTAGATGAACAGTAATAGCTAAACATGCAGCTGCAGTAGACAGAGAACTTGATGTGCTCAACACAAACAGCGATATAACTCAGTTAATAGATTTATAAAGAAGAAGAGCTTCCAAAACATTTGTAAATATTTACAGGCAACTTAAACTAGGCTAAAAAATTAGACCATCATCACAAAACAACAGCTGATCTGTACCCTGCACTACATCCATAGCAGTAAGCTGACTAGGAGGGGAACCTACCCTCCACAGCAGATCTGCTTCATACCAGCATTAAACTCAGGTCCAACATGTTACAATTAATATTAGTTGGAGACTGCTAAGTTAAAGGGAAATAAACTATTAGAAATGCATTTGAAGTTTTGTTATCATAATCACACTGAGATTGTGAGGAACAAACTTAGATAAAAAGCCGGAAGGTGAAAAGGACAGGGAGAAAAAAAAGCACAGTTTGATTCCAAGTCTCTAACTCAATAGTTAGATAAGTGAAACTTAAATTCCAGAATCTACAAATTATTTGCAGCCATGTTTTAATAAGAACAACAGAACCCACTTGCTAACAATGCTTAGCTTGACTCATACTTAAGGAAATGTTTGAAGTGATAGCATTCAGTTATTACTGTATATCATCCTGAGCTCAAAAATCTCTACTGTGATGCATGGTGGCTGTAGAAACATTATATTGTGGGGTAATGCTTTATTTCAGCAAGGAAAATAAAATTTGGTCAGAGTTAGTGGGATCGGTGAATAAAGATAAAGACATGTGTTAAAGACAATTAATGATGGATAGAGATGAACCCTCCTGCAGGTCAGCAACCCTGAAAATACAGTTACAGCAGAAGGATTTAGAGAAAACACAATCATAAATGCGAGGGGGAGTGGCGGCCTAGTGGATAAGGCGCTTGGAATCCAGAGGTTCTGAGTTCAATCCCCACTCCCACAGACTTACAATCTGGGTCCCTGAGCAAGACCCTTAACCTAACACACTTGGGACAATGGCAGCCCTCTGCTCCCCAATGGAATGGGTTAAATACAGAGAGTTCATTTTGTTGCTCTGTACTTGAAACAGTGTAATGACAAAAAAACAACATATATATATATTTATAGTATAGTAGATTGCGATGTTGAAGTCAGCATTGTAGAAAAACTACAGAAATGCTCTCCAGCCGATCCTCTTATGTAATGTTTCATATTTTATTTGCTGTGTTAGAAAAGCTATGATTATCATTTCAGTTCACAATTAACCACAAACTGTTATTGATCTAATTCTTAAGATTTTTTCTAAAATACATAGAAGCTCCAAAGTATAAAAAGGTTCAACATGTGTGAATAACTCTGCAAAGTGCCGCATGTTCTGCCTATCCTAGGATCAGATGCACATTTCTGAGACACGTCACAGGGTATTTGAAGAAACACATGCATTTTCATGGGGGCATCTTTTTTCTCTTGCAACCAAAGTCAGGCACGTGTACAGGTCACTTGCCTCTCACCTGTCAGCATAAAGTCCGAGGCTCTGAGATTTGCAGGCTTATAATAATCTGTCTGCATCTGAATGATCAAAACCAGGCGGCAGCGGTGTGACACAACCAGAGCTGTGCAATTGAAAGGCCGAGAAATGATGATTAAAAAAAGAAATATGGTAGTGATTAGGCCTCAGGCAAAATAGGACAAACTGAAGGCAAAGCAAGTGGTAGGATACTGTAACCCCTTTACAACAACAGCAAGTTGCCTAAAGATTTAAGGCTGCAAGGTGGGAAGAATGTCCCCCTGATACGAGGAGCTATTCAAAGGAACTCTTATCAAGGTGAAATAGTGCAGTTGTGTAATTCCTTGAATTTTTGTCTCATCATGTAACAACCTCAAGATTGGTAGATTTCAGCTTTCATCAGTGTAAGCCCACGCAGGGTCATTGTGACACAAAGGCTGAGAAAAACAACAAGGAATTGGGCGAAAATAAGAAGGAGAGGGTTCCTCCTCTAATGTATCTCTCCCTCCGTTGTGTGCAGTTTGGCTCTGTCTCAGAGCCAGACAGCCCTGAGAGCTCACATTTCATTTGCTCTGACGGATCGCATAAGGAGCCCCCCCGTGCAGACCCATATTCACCCAGCTTTCACTCAGGGAGGCACCCTCCTGCCCAACAACTCGTTTATTAGCTGTAATGTTAAGGCATGTCACTTGATCTAATGTAAATTCATATACGTAAAAGTATGTACCTACTGAAGGCCTTAGGAGTACAAAACCTGCATATATAAAACATTTTTTTACAGTCTTGCTTTGTTAGGGCAGTCTAGGTTAACTAGGATGAAAAGTTTTATCTGCTTTAAAAATATGGCCTTAGACTTTTTTTTCTTACTTTTAAATGGATAGAATCAGAGTAGAAATGATCAAGGGTTTAAGGAGTGGGGCATTTGAAAGAGTTGTCCCTCTGCTTTTCCAAATTAGGTTGCTTGGAGCCCTAAATGTTATAGATGGATATAGGTTGAATCGACTTTTCAGCAGAGCTGGCTGGGGGCCATTCCTTTTTATGTAATTTAGTTACCATCATCTTTTAACTGATTTGTCTCACTTAGTGACAGAACAAAGAGTTCTTTGTGTGGTTCGGATGGCCATTTGAGCACTGCAAGAACCTGTACACATGGCTAAAAGCCTAAATCTAACCTAAGTTATTTAATTTTACAAGTCTATTAATAGGGAAAATGTCTAATATGTGTTTATGGATGTAGTATGACTCAAATACAAAATAGATCAAATTTAAAGACAGCAGCAGAATGTGTTGCATGGTTTCCCTTCATAGCTAGTCCTGTTAAACAAGTTAATCAGTCTCCCAGGTTTCAGGGTAAGGGTCATCTTGGCTGAAAGCATCAGGAGATTGGATGCTTTGCATGACGGCAGACAGTGTTTGAACATTGTAAACAAAAAGAAAGATGTTTAGTGTGAATCCTTCCCACTCCTGCCTTTATCTGATGGGAAACACAAAGATGGGTTTTATTCTTTCATGACTCTTCAAACAGACTTTAAGAGTTTTAGGTTGGAATAGGCTTATACTCAACTTTACTTACTCCTTCAGGTAAAATAGAATAGAATAGAAAGGTAAAAGTAAATACTGTAGGCAGTTCTTAAATAAATTTTTAACAGATTAAAATCGGAAAAGTGAGGTGTATAGTTGGATTATACCCACTCTACTCATACATGCCTAAAGAAAATCTGGTGTCACCAGCTGATTTCAAAATGTAGGAGCAGCCGTTGATACGCTGCAATGTTGCATATCTCTCTACAAGTTTGCACAAATAGACTAAACTTGAAGCCCATCCTTCATTGCAAAACATCACAACCCTAGTCTGACACAAAACGTTTCCCATGAACTTTAGTTTTCAGCCCAACTCTAGTTTTTTTTTTTTTACTAGAGTTGGGCAATAAATTGACTTCATTAAAGAAATAAGAATTTGCAGATTTACTTTTAGCAATTTTTTCACCAATTCACTCTTTGGGCTTTCACAGGGATTTTGTTCTTAGATACAAACTCAAAACGGATAAGCCTGGCCTTCTAAATTGTTTACAGGCATGCTACACTGCCTGTAATAAGTTTCACTTTGAAGGGGATTTTTTTTAAAATAAGTACCATTTTTCTAAAGTGATGTATTTCCTTTAGGTTTTTTCCAAAAAAAGATAAAAGGAAGAAAAAAATCAATTAGTCATATTTGGTATAAACAAAAGTGAGATAGTATTTATTAAGCAGTATCGCCCATCCTACTTTTTACAGTTTCTCCATTCGATTAGGATCTGGACTTTGACTGGACCATTCTAAAAGTTGAGTATGCTTTGATCAGTACCATTTCATGTTCAGGGTTTTTGTTTTCTTCAAGGTGAACCTTCAGTCGCTATAGAAGTTTGTTGGTGGGGACGGGGGCTCTAACCTGTTTTCATCTGGGTTTGCTGCATTCATACCTCTTTAGTTTCAAACTGGAGCAGCATTTGTTCTAGTTCCTCTTCTTTCTTTGACTTATGTCTAGCCAGTTTTCCATAAAGTTCAGACCTAGAGAGTGCAGAACTAATACCTTTCCTGTTGACAGATTCCTCCACCTTAGCTCTGAATATCTGCAGCTCCTCCACAGTCTCTCAGGCCTCTTCTCTGTTTCTGTGACGCCCTCCAGACCCGACCTTTCAGACCAGCCTGCAGGCCAAATGTAGTTAAGTTTGCAGCTGCTTTTGAATAATGGATTGAACAGTGGTCCACATTTGGAGCTTTGGATACTGTTTTACGGTTTAAGTCAGGTTGAAACATCTCTAAAACTTCCTCTCATTTCTGTCTACTGTGTTTCTAGGGATTTATGATGCTTTTTCCCTCATGTTAACCTACACTCTTTCACAAAGCAGCTCGATTTATACTTAAATCATGCCTAAGTAGACTTTGTTTACAAATTTTCTGATTTCTAAAGGTAGTTTCTGTACAAACATTGCTTAATAAATTGGACCCTACAAACATTTCAAATTTGTTTTCATAAAAAGATTGCAAAACATGTATAATTTTCTGTCCATCTTAATATGACAGACTCCTTTGTCTTGGTTTATTTCACACGTTTCAGTAAACTACACAAAACCTGTTGGTCATTTAATGGTCTGAATCTTTGTTTTTTTATTACTTTTCAAGACCTTGTGAAGCGTGTCTATTTTATGCTCAATTAACCATCACAGATTGGATGCTTAAGCCATGCTGGGTGACCCGCTGACTTTATGGATGGCCATTTATTGGTAAAAGGTTGTAAAGATAAGCAACTATTTCATGAAACCTTACACACCTCCTCATTAACACACACTGACATTTTAACAGTGATTAAACAACTCTAAGTAGAAATAATGTGGATGTGGAATTAAGGTTCTCTGAGATGCAATTGAAGCAAGAGAGTGATTCAGTAAATCGTGTGTCTTGCTGCTAGTTAAGCCTCTCCTGACACAAATGGGTGGCTTTAAGCACCCGGACGTGTTTGATTGGTTTATTTGTCCACCTGCTCACATAAGACGAAAGTCCATCATGAGATTAGCTGTCTCAGTCTCTCAGGAATCTGCCCTGCCCCCCCTTTTTTTGACATGTGTCTAATTCCATTTTATTATCCCCCTATTCTCTTTCTATCCAGGAAATTAAAGAAACCGTGCTCACAAGCTGTCTGCCCAGATTGAAGCCATAAAGTCATAAAGGACACAATTAGAATCCAGCCCTCCCACTGCTTCACTCAAAAGTCAACCCCAAGTGGGCGCAGCTAAAATTATGAGACATGGTGTTATACAGGACATTTTTAGTCAGCGGAAATCTTCAACTTCTTTTTTCGACACCCCACTCCGCTCTGAACTCTTCACTTCCTCTTTCAGTTTAGTTTTTGCCTGCTTAAACATGGTGTTACACCAACGAGCTATTGTTTGTAACATGGTGGCGTTTCCAGGAAGCTTCTCTTTTTGGTTCCCTGCTAAATACTCTTTTTCAGTGTCAGAGTCTTTTTTTAATTGTTGTTGTTTTGTAGAGACAGAGAAGTGAAGGCAGACGGCGGGGTATGGAACAAAGAACCAGGCATTGACATTCAGTGACGAGTTAACTGGAGCAGGCCCTCCTCACTGCTGGCATGGTGTACACTCATGTGCTCGGGAGTCACCTCAACATTGTGAAGCACTCTATGCCTGCTGTAATAAAGCACAGATTTATGGCGTGTGTCTGCCATGTGCCACTGAGTCAAACTGGGGTGTTATGAACTCCAGTTCATTTGGCCTTGCCAATGACATATCACTTCGTCACTGCTGCATCCAAAAATACGCTCTGACTGCACCAGGTTTCAACGTCAAACACCTGCTGTTTACATCTGAATATGTGCTCTACTGAGGGTGCATATGTCCTCCATCTGAACAACTACTTTTAAAGCATAAACATGAAAATTTTGCTTATAAGAAGTGCTTTTATGTTAATAGATAAGAAATCCTACGTTTTTTTTTATTTATCAGGACTTCCTATTTACCCAACTTTAATGTGTTTTGTTTGCAGCTAATTTAAGTAAACATTGACACTTGACTTCATTATTATACCCAATTTCAAAGGAGAATGCATTTATGGAGATACAATTATATTACCAAAAGAAAAGGGCCATTAATATTATAAAAATAAATAAATAATAACATAAAGTTGTAAGAATGATGAAGGGAAACAGAAAACCAGCCCAAGGCTAGAAGTGGGTATTGGCTGATCACCTGTTTCATGGTTTTGGAAAGTCTCGGTTTGAAACCACAAACTATTGCAGACAGTTTCTCTCTGTTTTCTTTAGAACCTTATTAGAAACTCTTGTATCAAAGCTGTTTTATATGTACCTGTTTTTAACCTTTTTGTTAGTTGTTTCATCACGAGTTAATGCTGGCTGCAGTAACAAAAAGAAAACAAATTTCAGATTCAGCTAGTTTTTCTGGGTGGGACATTAAAGAAAATGGAGCAGGGCACTGATAATCCTTATTACATCATTTCCATGTGACTCATTCGGTTGCAATTGCAAACTCTTCCATCATGATTTCAGTTAAATGAAAAGCTAAAAAAATTACTTTTCCCATTGGATTTGCTTCCAGTGCAGCAGCAACTGAACCTTCTATTTGTTTCCATGCAAGCAGTTGGGAAACATTTAAAACATAAAGAAAAGAAACACATTTGTTCACGGAAATAAGCACTCCAAGTGTCTAATCCTTATTCAACCCATGTCTGCTGACCGACAGATCCTCTACGATAGTCCCAAGGCAAGACGAGAGGTGGAGCTACACTGGCGAGTGTCGGGAGGGCCGTACATCGTCCGCATCCTGAGCCTGTATGAAAACATGCACCATGGGAAGAAGTGCCTGCTCATCATCATGGAGTGGTAGGACAACTAGACAGTTCACAAATGTTGACCTAATTCAGCTTCCTACACAGCAACAGCTCCAATACTTTAAGGAAAATAAAGATTCAACTATTTTTTATCATAATAAAGGTATATTGTTGCGAAAATGGGTTTCCTGCTTCCAGGTTTCTCTGTCTGTACTGTTATGTTTCACTTTTTATGTTATGCAACAAAAACTGAGTAAATAAAAACCGCCACCTAAGGGAGACATTTAGTGTCCTACTCTTGTTAAATGTAGTGTGACTAAATTGAGTGCCTCTGCAATTGGAAAATTGTATATTTCTATTTTACGATTATATTGCAAATGCAATTGATTGCCCAGCCCTATCTATTAGTATACTATATGAATACATATAACGGACGGACTGGTAAATAATCAGATGCATGGTGTGTTTTTTTTTTTATTATTAATATTATTGCTAAAGTTATTTTTATTGTCTTTTTTACAATTTACATATGTTTAAATGGGCATTTGTATTTTTATAACCGTCAGATTGAGATTATTTATTAACCTGACGTTTTTCATGCATGCATATATAAACATATTAACATGTCTTCTCATGTCATTTTAGCCTAATATTAGATTTGTTGGATTATATGAAATATTTAAGTGTTAGAAAATCCCCCAGAAGAGATTTTTGTAAGCAGGTCATACATGCATACATGAAATAGAGCACTGTTTGATAGATACTGTTGTGAGATATTCTTAGTTAGAAGCTGCAAAACTGTTTTCATTAGTAGGATTTTTTTTTCAATGCTTAGAAGAGAAAGACTAATTATAATCACATGGGTTGTTTTTACCAGTTAGGGAAAGAGTGTCTACAGTAATAACACTTTTTTAAAACTTTTATCTAACAGGCTGAAGATTAAAAAGGGAAAGGAAAAAATGACAGACATATGCAACTCTTCTTTGTTTCTACTTTAACACGTGGTTAACTCTGAACTTTGGACTATCCTTTATTGTAAATGGAAAAGTTATCGCAGAGGATAGAAAAAAAACCAAAAAAAAAAAAAATCACAGTGACTTAAGGGGAAATTACTGTTTCCTTTCTGGGGGAATTTACACAGTGGCTGATTGTTTTAACATTTATTTACACTGCAACTCTCTGCCTTCAGTGGATTCCCTGACCTGGTGTGTGTGTGTGTCTGTGTGTGTGTGTGTAGGAAGAGGTGTGTGTGTGGGTGTGTGTATGTAGGCAGGTGGGGAAGTTGAAAGTTCTTCATAATGGCGGCTTCGTTATTGATACAAACATGTGTAGGTGACGGCCTATCAGAGAAAGTATTATTTACACAGTCAACTTCCTGACCTTTAACCCCTGACTAACACCTCCTGCCTAAAACAGGATCCACTCTGTTTATATAAGGTCTGAAGTCAAAGATAGATGTTTGCCTTTAAGTTCAAAAGAGATAAAAGTTTAAGCATCAACTTAGTTTGCCGTTCAGCAACACAGCAGTGCTAAGAACAGCGGATTAAAGTAGAGTGCTGCATGGTGATGCAAGAAATACAGACTTCATATTTGTAAACAAATTCCATCTAGAAAATTAAAGTACACACAGTTTCTCCTACCATTTATCGTCAGCATTTGTCTTTAATGGATTACTCTCTATTTTCTATAAAATATCTCACTGCAAATTTTGGCTGATTCTGATTTCTCTTTGTGAACATAAGAAAAATATATTAGCAATTATTTCTGTTTATATATAAGAAGCTCTCTCTTTCGGACAGAGAGTAAGCCATTAAATATTTGTTTACTTAACTTTTAAAAACAAAAAATGTTATAGCTGTCTTTAGCATCTTATATCATTGATAAAGGGATCCTGCAACAATAGAAATCTATGTAAGTAAATTTTTCTTTAAATAAGTCTGTTTTTTCTGTAAGTTAGACACTTTACCAATGGAATAAGACAAATTACTTTTATAAATAAGAAAAATAACAACTGCATTCTCTTGTTTCAAGTGCATAATATGTTATCTTATTTTAAGGGTAAAAATATTCATCCCATTGGCGGATCATCCTATTTACCTACTTAAATTAAGTTTAAATGCACCTATTCTGAGAAATTTGTACAGATATTTAGATTATTTTTGTAAACAAGCTGGCATTCCATATATATCTACAGAATGTAGATTCTTACCTTAACCCTGAGATTTTCAAAATACTCTCAGTCCTTTTCAAGTCTGCATATTTCATCAAACAAGTATGTTGGAAGCCCTAGACAGATCAAAGTAGAGCTACTCCGTTGTTTCCATGTCAGCTGTTCATTTATTACTTCATCTCTTGCTTACCGTCCACCTTAAAGGTATAGTGGAGGATTTTCACAAATTTTTGAAAAGACCCACCCTCTCCACTTTTAAAAAAAATGCACATGTACAACCCTATACCCACTCCTGAGAGGGAACGCCATTTAAACGTGTTAGAGAACATGCACAAGCACATTTCTCCCCATGCACGCTCTGTTTAAATGTTGCTGTTTGCATCGTTCATACAATCTTACTTTCCACTATGTCAGACTCACCACCGGTAAGTAAAAATGGGGAGGAGCACGTAGGATGTTCTTATGTAAACATATCACCAGAATGATTGACAATTAGAAGGACCACTTATTTTGATGATCCATGCGGAAAAGGAGCATCCTCCTCTACACCTTTAATGAACAGCAGACATGTCCTTACATACGAGTAAAAATACAGTTTTAGAGCTGCTGTAACTGTAAATCTGTTTTGTCCTCCAAGATGGTGCCTAGGCCTGATGCATTCACTGACAGCAAACAGTTTTGATTTTGGAGTGTTTTATTCTCCTGTTTTATTCACCAAGCAGATATAAATTGTATGATTCCTCAAACATTTGAATTTTGGCATGCATCTCAACAGAAGAGCTATTTTGAGCCATCTGCATTTGAACAGCAACAGAAATGCCATAATATCTTGTCCTTTATATTCCTTTTTTTTTAATTGATAGGTTTAGTCTCTTTGTAGTTATATTTGACAATATACATAGTTTGCTAATTTTGATGTTATCTAAAGGTTTGAAAGCAGTGAGTTTTAGAACACCCACTACTCTAACTTATAAACCAAACTTCATACTAAGAGGATCTTCAAACCTTCTGCTGTTCCTTTGCATGACATGGGGTTTAAGGGAGGATGGTGAACTTCAGATAGTGGACCAAACAAGCTCACAGTGAAATTTCTCCTTGATCTGCTCATCTAAAAAACAGAAAAAGTACATTCTTATAAATCCACTTAGCAAATGGAGTACAAAACCTAAAACTTAACTTAAACATTTTGGTAAAGGTTTTTGGCAAGGCTGCATATTTCAGCAATTAATTCAATAAAAACAAACTTTAAAATGATGATATTTCAATCTGAAAAACTCACAAGAGGAGAAAAGACAATTAGAAGAAATTTATTGACACAATTACTCTTTGGCGCTCAGACCTCGGCAGGAAACATAAAGAAACTGGTGCTGGAGTGGAGATAGATGAAGTTGGTCAGTCTGTAGACTGTTGGTCAGCGAGATGGTATGCTGAGCTTATGGGGAGATCCAGTGGACTGCGTGAGCTGATACTAGAGCTTCACTAAGGGACCTGGAAGATGGAAGTCCAGCTTGGATAACACAGGTTCAGAGAACCTGTCCATGATGAGCAAGCATGAGCAAAAGTGGAGAGGAAAAACCTCCCATTGGGAAGAAACCTCTGGCAGAACAGGGCTCAACATGGCGGTCTTCTGCTGGACGGGTTAAGAGGAGACGCGGAATGCAGTAAGAGTCCGGAAATAATGAAACCACAATGAAGCTTTAGCTGCAGTGGTGGAGGAGAGGCTGGAGGTAGGTTAAAACGGGGTCATCTAAATGAAGTCAGACAGCGCATCCACCACCTGCACACTTAGGAGCAGACCAGCAGATCGGAGGCCTTTAAAGATGGACTCGGATGCTGATTAGCTTTGGTGGAGGTGTGGTTCAAAGCTGATTGATTGAATCGCAGGAGGATGTAGGAGAGCAATTAGGTTCTTCAGTTGAACCTCCGCCTAGGCTCCATTTGTGTAAAATACTATCAAGCTTAATACTTTCTGATACACAATAAGTATCCTAAACCATAATGCATTGACTTAGACCTAGACAAACTTTATTGACATTTTGTATACTCAATAGTCATTCATAGAACCTGGAGATTTCCACCATGCTCCACGCCAACATGATGCATTCTTAGAGTATTCCTACTTGACAACAACTAAGTCTCATTAAATTGTTTGCTGAATTAAGCCATGGAATTTCTCCACTGTTTAGCACACTACAGAGTACAAAACCTCTCAGAATAGCTTGTGTAAAGGTGGAGCAAATATGGGCTTTTTACACCCATGTTCCCAATATGTGTCTGTGAGCATATCCACAATTGCTCTGTCATGACAAAATAAAAACATCCCGAAAACTGCTGTATCACAATGCCATGCTCTGTATCTAACGATTCAAGATAATAAGTACAAAATATAAACTTCTACCATGATCCTAATTGTACAGATGACACTAGCTCCCATTTTACTAACTTTTGAAAAGGGCTTCAAACTGAACAGCATTTTCTGGCATTTGCTGTGAATCCAACAATAAGAAGTTAAAAAAAAAGGTCTTAGTGCTCTTTTAGAGTACAGAGGTGCCTTCCTTCAAGTAATGACTGGAGACATTAGGGCCTGTACCGGGAGGACAAGCTTTGATATAATTATGGCTATTTTTAGTCTATTATCTTGGCAGAGATAGCAACTGAAACCCAAGATGGAATGCATTCCTGCAGAGGAAGGAAGAGCCCAGGCAAAGGATAAGTTAAGGAGAGGGCAGTGTCTACCATGTCTTATATGTGTAGGCTTTTGGGGGCTTGGTTTTATTTAAATGTGAATTCTCTCATCAGATTTTAAAGTTGTTTTTTTTACAACCTCAAGCAGCTTCTTTTAGGATTAATAAAAGCTGCCTAGCATTGTTATTGTTTTTTGCAGTAGGCAAACCCTTGGGTCAAAAATTGTGCCATTTGAGACCTCACCATATTTCTGCCATAATGCTTAATCTGGTGATTTTACAGCTTTTGCAGCAATACCAGTTCTAACTCATCTGAAGTCAGACACTGATCCTGCTCTATCAAAAAGGCGTATTGGCTTGAGGTCAGGACTTAGCCTAGTAAACTAGCCCCACCCGCCAGCGGCCAAAATCACTTTTGCCTGCGAGTTTGGTCTAGTCTCGATCAATGTCCCAGGCCCTGGCGGGCCAATCACAACGCAGAGATGTGTTTTGAATTTTTGGATGCAAAGCGGGCGGGGTTTTGGGGGCATGATGACAAAGCTGTGTGACGCTGGAGAAAGCACAACAAGGAAGATGGCAACAACTATTGAACAGTTCTTGTTTGACTCAGCTTTGGAATCAGTCTTGGAAGGATTAGACTTGGGTTTTTTGTTGAAACGTGAGCAGGAGGCTCTACGCTCATTCATTTTTAAGAAGGATGTATTTGCCATTTTACCAACAGGCTGTTTGTTTACACTCCCCAACCAGCTTCCTATCGTGCTTACTACGTCGCAGTCAGTTGCGCTCATTGGTCAGAGCGTTGGCCAATAGGCACAGACATAGTTTGAAAAACAACGGGTTGTTCTCATCAACAATCTTCCGATGTCTCATTCATTGGGGCCAGACTAAATTACACATTTAATCTCACATTTAGTCTGGTTTATCAGGCTAGTCTGGACTTTTTGTAGGCCAGTAAAGTATTAGTGCCCAGAGAGTTGGTTGTAGGAATTTTTCCTGAATGTCTCAATATCAAGAAACATTCAGAGATCCTTTCAGTTGTTTTGAATAAAAGAGAAAATTCTCTACACCATAATCCACCCTCTGCACCAAATATTAAATATGACACACAGGAATCAGCAAAGTCCCAATCTATTACATCAGATTTTACTTTTTTTTTTTTAGAGGCCTGACATGTTACTACAGAGCACACATCTCTGATGGGCTACATATGTTAGACCCCTTGCATGTTTTGGAGTATACTTTGGATGTAAGGCTTGGGGGCATCCACGAGGCTATGGAAAATGCCTTCTAAAAGCATGATTAAAACTTTTCCTTCCTCCATTTATTTTATCTTCCAGTTTATCTCAAGTGAACTAGAAAAAATAATTGATGAATCCGAATTGGTTAACCAGTTATATAATCCTTCAAGTCAATGTCTTTTAATATGTTACATGAAAGCTTTAATTTATCCTTGCTTGCAAATCTAATGGCTTTCCTGTACTATCTCTGTCTGTTCAGTATGGAAGGAGGAGAGCTGTTCAGCAGAATCCAGGCTAGAGGAGACCAGGCCTTCACTGAAAAAGGTGAGAATAGAAAAACACAAAGGACTATCCTCTTAGATGCATTACACACAAAAAATAGGTCTGATTCGTGGAGTAAGATTTACTTTTAGTAGACTGTCGCATGGAATGGTTCCCAAGCATCCAGACTACACCTAAAGTATACCTGGGTGTGCTTCCTGTACCTCTGTGTCGCTGTGGTTTGTATCCTGCTGTGTCCAATTTGCTTTTGGTTTGAGAGAGTCTGTTTATCTGTTTCTTCCCAGAGGCGTCTGAGATTATGAGGGACATCGGCACAGCCATCTCGTTCCTTCACAACATTGACATCGCCCACAGAGACATCAAGGTACACAGAGATCGAAATGAGAAGCTCCAAATCATAAAGGCCCACTGTAATATCTGCTCATTGGAGCATCCGTCCCTCCATTTCTCTGCTTGTGTCTTCAGCCAGAGAACCTGCTGTATACTACTAAAGCTAAAAACGCAGTCCTTAAGCTGACAGACTTTGGCTTTGCAAAAGAGACAACGCTACACAACCCCCTACAGACGCCCTGCTACACACCGTATTATGTGGGTAAGATGTTTCACTGCTTGTTGAAGTGCATAGGAAGATCTCTAGAAAGATTTATTGGTTTCAGTTGTTTCTTCAAAGCAAAACCAATGTAGTTGTGGAAATGTGTTTCTGACTGCTAATATTCACCAGTATATCTTCTGTGATTGTGTTTTGATGTGTTGACACTGATAAGCCCCTGAGGTTTTGGGTCCGGAGAAGTATGACAAGTCTTGTGACATGTGGTCTCTGGGCGTCATCATGTACATCCTGTAAGTACTTATAGTCCATTTGGTGGCGTTATTCTTATTATTATTTTTGCAGGACTTTCCCAGTAATGTTTACTCTTGTTAAACTTTTTTACAACTTGGTATAGCAAACTTTAATGTATTTTTGGGGAATTTACATTGTTATCAAGAGGGAAGAAAAGTCTGTTCTTTAAATATTTCAATAAATACAAAACAAAAAAATTCCAGTATGGATTTGTGGTGTGATTATGTTGCTGAACCGCATTTTGCTGCATCTGTTTTCTGTTATATCTCCATCAGCTTCACATGTCTAAAGATACATTTAGTTTAAAGATTTTTTTTAATTACAAAGTTTGTAAATTTGCATTTTAAAGACTGGATTTTGAGCATCTGTAGAAATCTATTTTTTTTTAACCTGACTTCAGATTCTCATTTAGATTTAGGCCTGGAGTTTGACTAGGCCATTTTAACACATAAATAACAAAATAGTTGTCTTACAGCGTTGTCGCGTGTTTACTTCTTTTCTACTTCTTATTAACACTGACCGCAGCTGCCACCACCGTGTTTCACTGTGGAGGTGGTGCATCAGGCATGATGTTTGATGTTAGTCTTCTACCATCTTGAGCATTCTGCATTTAGGCCAAAAAATTCCATTTTGGTTTCATGTAAACAGAGCACCTACTTTTACATTTTAGCTTTGCCACCTGTGGCTTGAGGCAAACTGTAACACTTTTGCTGTTTTTTTATAGCAAGATTAAATCTCACACAGAGGCTCTGTTTACCAATTAGAAGATAGCTTGAAGGCAGTTTGCTTCTTCAACTTTAGGAGTCTGAGTAAAGGGGGCTAGATTTTTATATGTGATAAAATGTAAAATGAAATCATGGCAGAGTATTAGCTTTCAAAGGTACCAATTAAAAACACCCTTAACAGTCACCCTCCCTGTGCTTTTCTACCCAGGCTGTGTGGCTACCCTCCGTTCTACTCCAACACGGGTCAGGCTATTTCTCCAGGAATGAAGAGAAGGATCAGAATGGGCCAGTATGAGTTTCCAAATCCTGAATGGTCTGACGTGTCTCAGGAAGGTAGGTTTTCAGTAATATTTCTAAATGGAGCAAATGAAGGAATGGTCAGAAGAAAACCTCTGGGCTTACCTAAACCAGAGAACAACAGTTTCAGTTCAAATAGACTATCATGACTACAAAATAGGATTTGTTAAACTCCACAGTTAAGATTGTATTAATATTTAAAGCTTTTAAAATTAAATTATAATTTTGCACATTCAGAAAAATTATCATTATCATTATCACAGACAGAATGTGCAACATAAATATGAGACACAAAGACCTATATTCAGCCTAACCCCAACCCAGCTTAATATATAAAAACAGTCACAGCTTAAAAAACATTTAATTACTTAAATGAATTGAAAGTCTTGTTCCACTGTTGCTGTGCTGTTGTATATATTCTGCACCAATATTGCATGAAAACATATGAGAAAAATCTTTGGTATGTCTCGCATACATAAAATAATTTCTTACTCAGTTTTGTTAGAGCCACAGGGAAGGGGCCATAGAGCCCTATATAGCTCTGGAACCAAAGGTTGCTGACCCCTGATCCAAACTAATGAATAAAAAGGAGATATTTGGATCAGTTGTTCCTGAAAGGATTGATATTTACAGACTTTCAAGTCAAACAGGAAGTCAGTAAATCTTTTCCACTTGTAAAGTGGAAATTACCATCGCACTTCCTATTATATCTGCTACAAGAAGAAGAGGAGGCATCAAATGCATTGACTGACTGCTAGCGAAAATTCCATAAAATCTAATGAAAATGGTAATTTTAAAGACGAGAAATTTAAATGCCTTTATTTCTTTTTTTATGTAAGTCACAGCATTGTGTAGGCTATGAACAAAACAGGAGACAATGTTTAACAATGGAGTATTCGCCATAAAGAATTGTTTTTCTGCTCTCCTCCATGTTGAAAGGTCAAAGTTAACCGTGTCTCAACGTGGATATCATAAAATGTTTCCAGTTTTTCAGTGAATAAAACAACATGAGGTGTTCATCTGCATTTTTGATGTTGTTTTTTGGTATTTACCATAATTACGATACCACATGAAGGCAGAATAAGACTCAGAGGTGCTGGGAGAACTCTGCAGTTGGTTTGGATTAGTCAGCATGTTAAGTTGCACACATTAAACTTACTGTTTAAATGCTCTTGACACCAGTTGAAATATTTATTAACTTAGCTTGTACAAAAAAATCACTAAGCTTAGGTCAATGAGAAGAAACACAACCTGAAAGCAAATCAGAGCTGCTGTTCCTTATAACTGGACACAAGTTGTAGAATCACACCTACAATATGAAAAGTGTCCATGTAGTGACTTATTCACTACTATTATCACATCTGGAAGTCTGAATTTAAAGATAAGGTTTGCCTAAATCATAAAGATTAAGGCCTATGAAATTTTAGTGACGACACAATCACCATAAAATCTAAACTAGCTACCAGGCTGGCATCCAGGCAACGGTAATGAAAAGCTTCTAATACAAAGAAGGGCTACTGTTTCTGTAGATATTTTTTTTTATAAAAAAAAAAGCATGAATTGGCGTTGGCAAAAGGATCTTTAGAGCAGGTTATAAAGTCTCTATTGTGAACATTGTCCTAACAAGTGTGGAGTTGACCTTCTTCTGAAGCATGCAGCATCTGAAACAGGAAACCATGGTGCTGCACAGAATGACTCTGCAGCTTTACTTGGTGACCTACTAATTTACAGAGATAATTACAGGGAAATGGTTAGTGAGATGATTGGCCAAACATGAGATGGTTAGATAATGTCTACGCTTTGACAGCACTAGTTAGTTTCCATCCTGGAAGAAGTTTCTGTTTGCTTTAGTTTCACACTGCAAAATCTATTTATAAATAAGTCAAAATTTCTTACATTAAACAAAATTTGAGCACATAAATAAGATGATCTGCCAATGGAATTAATACTTTTTACTTAATTAAAATAAATTAATTTAAAATAAGATAATTAGATAATATGCACTTGAAATAAGACAATACAATTGTTTTTTTTTTCTTATTATGTTACCTCCTCAATTCAAGAAAAAAACTACCGTCTTTATTTAGATTTCAATTCTTTGCAGTGTAGAAAATCGTCTTTATTTCCCACATATTTTCTTTCTTTTTTCTGACCTCACCAGCCGCCAACCTTTTGCCCAACAATGACAATGGGTAATTACCTTGTTCTTTTCTCAAATTTACCTTAAGTTTTTTTTTTTTTTTTTTTTATGTACAAACTCAATAATATCACTGTGTAAATATTGTCCACTGAAAACAAGAAATTATTTTCTTAAAATAAACCTTTAAACCTTTTCTAATCAGTCAACATTTTTAGGTAGTATACTTTACCTTTCCCTCCATTCAACATGATATAGAAGTGTTCAAAAGAGTTTATACCCCTGAATATTTCGTCATTTTTTCACAAAAAAACAAAAACCTCAAGATATAATATTTAGCTTTCATGCCACAATCCAAAGCAAAGCAAGGAATACAATTATGAAGCACAATAAGAAGAATATATGGTTTTCAAATATTGCATTCATAAGAATGCACAAAATTCATCATTCATTTGCATTCATCCATCTCTTCTATGTGATTTTAAGACTCTACTTCTGTGTATTCAATCCTGTTGTTCTCTGAAGGCCTAGTTTGCTACATTAGTGAACAAACAACAACATGAGGACCAGAGAATACAGCAGACAGATAAGGGAGAAAGTTTTGGAGAGGTTTAAAATAGGATTAGGTTATAAAAAGATATTTCAAGCTTTAATGTCTCTCAGACAACTGTTCAACCCATCACCTAAAGAACGACGTCGAGTACGGCCCAATTGTAATTCTAAAAGTTTTCCAGCTGGGGCCTACAGGGTGGGGGTGGGGGTGGGGAAGAGTGTTTATCAGGGAAGCCGCCAAGAGGTTCATCGTAACTTCAAATAAAATTAGTTGCACAGGTTATATGTTCTGCCTTGATGACAGAGTTGTAAAACATGAGCATTTTAGAAAGAAAGGCACAAGAAATCCTATTTTAAGTTTACCTTAAACAATGAAGAGGTCACAGCAAGCAATTGGAAGAAGGTACACTTGTGAGAGGAGACCAAAATTAAGTTAGTTCTATGAGTTGGAGGACAACTTAAAACACTACCTTATTCTCAGACTAAAGCACGGCAGAGGCCTCATCCTTTTCTTTTTAGCAGGGACATGGAAGCTGGTTTGATTGCAAAAGCTTTCGTGCTTCTACTCAGCTTCCCCTTTCAGCAGGAAAACCATCTTAAACCTTTAGCGGGACAGACTCGATTAAAGCAGAAGTAGAATGGCCCAGTCAAAGTTTACATTTAAGATTAAAAACGAGAATCTGTGTCATAAGGTTCAGAGATGCTCTCCTTCCAATCTGACCAAGTTGGATACAAGAATCAGAAAACATCACTAAGTTGGTACAGACATACCCCAAGGTAGTCACTCCTGTAACTACAGCAACAGGTGGTTTCACAAAGTGTTGAATTAAACAATGACCTGCTCTAATTGCCTGCAATGAGTAGAGCAGCAGACTTTTCTTGCTGCTTGATTCGTTTGAATCACTAGTGCTGATGATGCCACCTTTGACATTGGCTTCAAACCTAGACCTAGATGAAGCAGATAGATCTGCAAGATGTTTACAGCATCTTACTGAAAACCATTAGCTTTTTTTTTTTTTATCTCTGCCTCCTCCTAATAACCAGGTCTGGGATAACATTTCTAGATCAGTCTGCACTTCACTTGTTCACAGCTACTAATCTCATCTTCACCATGTGTTTTCTCTCAGCGAAAGATATGATCCAACAGCTGCTGAAGACCGACCCAAATGAGAGAATGACCATTACTCAGTTTATGAATCACCCCTGGATCAATGTAAGTAACTGCCTCACAATCTGCCTCCTCTTTTCCCCCCATCTGTCTCCGTCTTCATCTGGACCCCTGTGTTTGTGTCTTTCCCACTCTGCAGCAGTCCATGATGGTTCCCTCCACTCCGCTGCACACCACCCGGGTCCTCAATGAAGACAAGGAGCTGTGGGAGGATGTGAAAGTAAGCTGAAGAACTAACAACACTGCCTCCTTCTGGTCACTCTTTTTCATTACAACCTGTTACTGACATTTCATTGACCTTAATTTTATCCTTTGTAATATAAAAAATATGGAGGACTCAATCAGAGAGGCAAAGTTAAGCTCTTTATTCGGCTTGCAATATTTTAGTTCAAATTTAAAATGCAAATTGATCTCTTCACATTTTTTTCAGCCTGTCCTAAATAACTTTAATTTATAAATAACCGTTGTTTACCTATAGGCAAAAATATTATCTGCTGGAAAATTGCTGTGAGCCATCAAATATATCATCGAATTTGACCCCATTTAACATTTTTCATCGTCCTCGGATGATTCCTCATCTACCACTAGGTGGAAGAAGTTGTCCCTGCCTGTAATATGAGCCTCTTAAAAATGTACAGTAACACTAAGCATGCTCCTCCTTCCAACTGTTTCTGTTTGTCATACAGAAAGAAATGAGACGTTCCATGCTTTCTTTAAGTCACACAGGGCTACTTTTTCATCCACTGAGCAAAATGTCCCAATGTAAATTTACACATTCCTTCACAACAATGTGCATGACTGAAAAGATAAAGTGTGAAAAGACCTTTCCGTAAAACCAGTAACTCACAACAGTCTGCTGCTCTGTGTCGCAACTGACCACAGCAGTGTTATGTAAAAACCTGGTAAACTGCACAAAAAGACACAAAACCTACGTCTTTAGTTATACAGGCTGACAATTGTGGATGACAAGTAGAAATTGCTCCTGAGGCTCGGGTTTCTTTTGACCTTAGCTTAGAGCACTTTGACCTTTCACCTCAGTTTATAAAAATATACTCCATTTTCTTCTCATCTCCCATTGCTTGCCTTACAAAAATATTCTCTCCCGTTGGACTTTTTTTTTATTTCATCAAACCCTTTGGTGTTTTTTATTGAGCTTTTGTGTGACGTATTTACATTAATTAATGGTAATTATGTATAATCATATGTGGATGTGCTAAATCCTGATACCTGCAGCTTTTTCAGAACACTATTTATTAAGTCCACTACTAGTGGCTGAGTAAAGTTCACCTGTGAACATCAATCTTCAACTCTTGCCTGGTATTATCTCTTGGATTTAGGTCTGAACTTTCCAGTCCTATGCACAAATATGCTTTGACTTGCTCTGGCCCTATGTCAGAACCGTCATACTGCTGGGAACTGAATCTCTGCGTCAGACTTTTTTTTTTTGTTGCAGTGTCTAATAGGTTTACTCACTCTTGATTTCCCTGCATTAACCTGGTTCATCCTCCTAACAACAGCTGCCCAGTCCCTACTGAACGACAGCATCCCAAAGGATCACCATGGCATCGCCATGCTTCACCATAGTGATAGTGTATTAGCAGTGATGCACAGCGTTAGATTTCTAACACACATAAGTCAGCGTCTGCAAGTCAGCAGTTCAGGCGAGGACCGTGCTGCTGGTCCCTCTCTGATTTTCTGGAATATATCAAGCATGCTCTACATACTTGCCTCTATTTAGCCCCTCCACCAACCCCCCCACTTGGGGTGAAAGGTCACTAAGCATCTCGTAGTTTCCCCAACATGCAGAAACATCTTATGGGGGTACACAAAGGCTAGATTTGTGGATCCCACATTTAATGCTTTGTGAGACGTTCAAAGCTTAGAATATTGCTTTATAACCTATCCTGTTTTAAACTGCATCAGCACTTTCTCATTGACCTGCTGCTGTCTTTAAATGATGCTGCTTATTCAGTGATGTTTTCTAACAACTTTAAAGGCCTCTACAGAGCAGCTTAATTTGTACTGAAACCAAAACAACCAATAATGCACTACTTATGTTGGTTCATCACAAAATCTAAAAGAAAATACAGGTGTTTGAGGTTGTAAAATGACAAAACATGAACAAACGGATGGTTATTGAGGGTTCTAAATATGTTTTTCTTTTCTTTTTTGTTAATGGTTAATAATTGAATAAAACTGATAAAATGAGTAAAAAATAATCAAATATGCTGCGGAAATTTCCCTCAAGAACCTGATAACTTAGTACTCTGTTTTCAACTTTTCCCTGCCTTGTCTCTAATAGGAGGAGATGACCAGCGCCTTAGCCACCATGCGTGTGGACTACGACCAGGTGAAGATCAAAGACCTCGACACATCCAGCAACCCCCTTCTCAACAAAAGACGCAAGAAGGCCGCTGCAGGGGGCAAGAGTGGGTCCACTGTGTGCCAAAGTCAGTGAAATGAGGAAGAACCTGTGATTAAAATCCTGACCAAACAGTGTCAGTGATGAAAAGAAACCGCTTGTGTTGAGGAGAAAATGAATCGAATTATTCACAGGGCTGGTCTGAAGCACAGAGAGACTGGAGGTTAAAATGCACTCTGAGAGGAGGGAACAAAGAAGAAGAATTAAAACCAGGCATGTGTTCCTATTAGTGGTAGAAATCAACAAATATGCTCACTGGTTGTATCTGAGTTAATTATTTTTATCTGTGTGGTTTTGTAGTTGTAGAATAATAGAGATAATGGTGTCTGTGTGCAGACATGACATACCTCTGGTGATATTATTTAGCATTTATATGCTGGGTTGCCTAAAATCTGCAGACAGGTAGATGCAAACTTCACAGAGAGACTGAAGCAACCCTTATTGCCTTTATTGTCTTAATGTATTTTTTGCTGCTTTTCTTTTTAAAATTAAACCCCAGTCTCACAACCGGTGTTCTGTTGCTTAAAGGGAGCCTCCATGCCGACATACAGCTCCACCTGATGGAAGATTTTTCACAAAAGGGGCAATAAAGATGGAATTACACTGACTGAGTTTTTTTAACCTGTGGTATTTCTTCAGAACACTGGGTGTTCCAGTAAATGAAGTAACAAAAATTTGGCAACAAAGCTTTACGTAATAAACAGTTGGTTACCGCTTGTTTTGTGACATGGATTTACAACATATTACCCAAGAAGTAGGGAATCTTTAAATGTGTAGTCGCTGGGTAAAGCGCTTCTCCTAAGTGGTGGTTATAGTTTGGTTTCAGGTTATGTGTACCGGTACGCAGTTCAACAATAGCTTGAATCCACTTGGAATCAAGGATTAACGCAACAAGAAATCCCAGTGAGGTCTGACCGGGAAGGTCAAAGGTCTCCTGGTTTGTTTGATTTGCCTCTGAATTTCAGACTGGGATCCAAACAAAAAAACAAAGAAAAACCTGATTTAAGTGAGACACACAGTTTTTGAAGCTGTAATGAATAGTTTATAGCTGAATGTTTTAATACATCCTGCAAGATCAGCAGCCATATTCATTCTGAACTCAGATTAAAAGAGGATCTCCGCCGTTATATGCATTTTTCTTTTAAACACCTAACTTGGTAGTCTCAACCTCCCAGAGGAAAACTGCTTGCAATGCTGTGTGCTTTATTTATTTTTTTACGTTTGTAACTGAGTCCGTCAGGCTTTGTTAGGTTAATATAAATAGAAGCAGTGAAGTACTTTTCTGGGACTCGGCCATCTGACGTGCCACTGGACACCAAAAGGTCAACATTATTATGTTTAGAAGATAAGAACCTTTCCCCCACTTCAATCACAAGCCCCTGCAGTATTTGGGGTATAGGTTACAAGACCATAAACTCAATCTAGGGTTCCCAGCTGAAAATATGGTACAGGCTCTTATTTAGTGTTTGGTTTAATTATGAAAACAAACACTTATAAACACAGAAGGAGGAAATTACAAATTGCATAATTTTTTGAGTAAAGTGTTTGGGTAATCCATCTACTGTGAGTAGCTTGACTTAATAACCAACAAGTGTGTTTTTTTTTTTAAGTGCTCCATGCAGTTAATGTGCCCCACAGTTCATGTTTATGATGCTCCATTTTTATACAAAAGCTTACCTGAACCTACCATGACACTTGGACAAATGTAATATTCAATAAGGAGTAAATATTTTCACTGGATGTACAGTTTTCATAAGTTTTATGATAAAAAGAAATTAATTTTGGAAAAGTTCTTCAGCTTCTGTTCTGTTTCTTCCACTTAAAATTATTTTTCTGTTACATTATTTGTATAAGTTATTGTATTATATTCTTTAAAATGACCGAATATACACCTAACTTTGCTTTTTTTTTTTTTTGGACTTTATAACATCATTTTACATATCAGATGTAATGATGTACTTCAGTAGCCTTTTTACAGAAACTTCTTTACACTTAGTTGAGTAGAATTTGTAGGTACTCTACCCACCTTTGTTTATTTCTGTGGAACTTTACAGAGTGATTTCTAATCATGAGTTTCGTACATGAAAAACCAGCAGTAGGATGTTTTTGTCTGTGCTTATTAGTCATTTTAAGAAGACAGGGCTGGTCTTGTCATTTACTGCACCATTAATGCATAGCTAACATAATGAACTTTTTGCTAGATTACACCAAACCTGCTATCAACCCTCCCCTGAGGCTAACGTTAAATAAGAAAGCTGACCTATGCAGCAATACAAAGAGAGCATAAAAGGTCGTCTGATATTGTAACTCCTGATATTTTCTGATGTTATTGATGAGTCAGTTCTGGAAAGTTTATTTTAAGTAGTAACATTTTAATAGTAGTATTTTGAACTGAGCAGCGGCAGCAGCAGACCTGTTGGACTGGTACGTTCCTCACTGTTTGGAGTCAGGAGGACATGGGGAGTGTCTCGTGGTGCAACAGGGACACTGATCAGTTTGGCCTTTTGTGAAGGAATGTGTTGGGTGCGGGGGGCTCAATGAATAGCTCCATGACCTCGACTTTGACCTGCCCTCTCTGTCATCCAGAGCCTGTGCTGTCTGAACTTTTCCTGACACCCTCTGGCTGTTACTTTTTTCTGTTTGTTTATGTTCAGCCTAAAACATCTGATCGGGGTTGTTTTGTTCACTTAGTGCTAGAATGTTATTGTCCTGCAGGTTTTAGATGTTTCCTCACTTGTGAACAGCTGATTTCCTTTAATGGCTCATTAACAACTTATGCTTAACTTCAATCAGGTTTGTTAAAGCAGGGGATCATCTAAAATGTGCACAAAACCAATTCCTTAAAGGCTGACTTTTTAATGTAAATGCTTTACAATTTTCCAGACAACCTTCTAGTTTTCTATATTGTTTACAGTAATTAAAATATCTGTATATGATTATGGACAGCAGTTACAAATGGAACCTAGAGGAAAGTAGAGAGTGTAAGGAATTACCTAAGGAAGGAATGGGGGGAGGCGTTAAGAAAGGAAGAAGGAAATTAATACTAAGGAGAGAAAATAGGGACACACATTGAGGAATGAGCAACAGAACGAAGTAGTTTTAAGCAGAAGAAGAGGCAATGGAATGAAGGGGGGTGCATGTGTGATGGAGGAAAGAAGGAGTGAAACAAAAACAAAACGAGACAAGGATATGAGACATAATAGTGGATGAAAACTAAAGGAAAAACCAGAAAAGAAACAGATTCAGGACAATAACACTAAAGAATAGGAACAGATAGAGGAAAAAAGAACTGTTAGTAGGAAGCAAGTAAGATAAGATACATAAAAAGAAAGGAAGGAAGGAGATAAGGTTGGAAAGAAGGAGGTTATACATGTCTCTGGAAGGGCAGGCACACCACATGCTGTATAGAGGCCACGTTCCATGATGCAGATGTCTCTGGTTCGATTCCCAACCGCAGATGATTTACTGCATGTCTTCCTCAAAGGAACAAGGGAAAAAAAACGAGCTTAGAACGAAAGGAGGGCAAGAAATTGGAGAATAAGAGTAAAGGAATTAGACTGGGAATGAAGAAAGGATGGAAACAATGAAACAAATTATAGAAAAAATGGAATGACACATTGCAGAAAGGGTGGACTTGAAGACGGATGCAGAGAGAAATCCTTTAGAATCACCAAGAACAGCAATAATTATTCCAATTTTTTATCTTCCTTTTTCCATGGTGTTCAAAACCTGGAAAATACAGAATCAAACTCATCATTTCCAGACTGAACAGGAACCTTATGGCCATTACCACAGTTCTGCCAACAGAACCTTATTGCCACCAAAATAGCCACGTCCTCACAGACAAGGTCACATGATGCTGCTATTATCTTTAGAAAGCCACTGGGCTGGGACCTCTGTGCATGTGCTACTACGTGTGCATGTGTTTAGGCTTATTTCCTTTCATTCATTACCTGTACTTTCCTCAAACAAATATAACAAGCTGGCACAGGCTCTTTCTGAGCTCGCTGGTGTATCAAATAAGCGATTAATTCCTGGAATACCAGATAAACCAGTTCTTCAAGCTGTTGTTTTCTCTAAAACTTCTTAAGTCACTTTCTTAAATATGTGGAAAGTTTATAACTGAACTATGTAATACTTCTCATAAGGTCCTAAAACTTGCTAAATTTTATCTAATGTTAACAAAAAAAAAAAAACATTTAGTGTGGAGAACTATTATATAGCAGAAGCTCTTGCAGTTCCCCGAGGCCTGTACCACGAATCGAGCTCAAACTAGCGGGATTACTTCCAGTCTATCCAGTTTAACCAATCCACAAAAAGCGGTACCATGAAGCTTACTCAATCTGGCTTTGACTGAGCATGAACCTGCGGACGTGCACATATAAAGGGGCTGGTTGAAGCAGACCAGCCACAATCATGGGCGCAGACGGGAGAGCACCGATATCTCCTGTGAGGAACAAAATTGATCTTACGGAAATACGAAGAGGAAAAGAAGTCTCAAAGAAAAGTCAAACACGGTGGTGGCATGAAAGAGACGGCAAATGTAGTGGGAAAGGATTGCTGGCTGCGTTAATGAGCAAGTTATAGATCAGTGTCTTTTAACACAGCCATGCATCCCAATCACTGTCCTGCATATTAATCGTGTGCGCAATGGGAGAGAAGAGTACGGAAGCCGAGAGCGAGATAACGACATGACTATCTCGTTATCATGGTTAAACCATTCATTATGTTCTAGAGATAATCAAAAATAATTATCTCATTATCATGTGAAAACAGTTATTGATTTCTTGAGCGAATGAGGTGATTAACCTGTATGAGTAATGAATTAGGCTGACCAACAGCCCTGGATTCCCAGTCCATCCATGCCTGTGGTGCCCGTATTTGTGCAGTCACGGTACCATATTTGCGCAAATAATCCGTTTTACAGTTTCCTATTTTTTTTCCACTCATTGTCAGGTTGTGGTGAATGACTGGATTGCATCGAATACAGTATAAACAAATCTGACTGTTTATTAATGAAAATCTTTAATCTCGACTAATTTTGGGGGTTAATCTGCATGGCTGTGTGTTTCCTGTACAGGGCTGCTGTGAAGCTGGTTTACAGTTGCTTTTTGTATCTCTGCTTCTTTTTGTATCTCTGCATCTGTCTCCTTGAACCCCAGTCGGCATCAGCAGATTGCCATTCATTCTGTGTCTGATTCTGCTGGAGGTTTCTTCCCTATAAAAGGGAGTTTTTCCTCCCCACTGTCACTATAGGCATGCCTGGTGTAAGGGATTGCCATCGTGGTGGATGTAATCAACTGAATTTCCTTAGATAGAAAATTTTGAATCAATTTGACTGGATGATCTGGTGAATTGTAAAGTGCCTTGAGATGACATGTTGTGAATTGAAATAAACGGAATAGAATTCAATGAATGCATCTTATACCTGTTACAGGCGTAACAATGGGGCTGTTCAGAAAACACTTGGCGCTAAGGCACAGGAGGTATAGGTTTAATTTCGTATGAATCAGAAGAGGAAGCAAATCATCAAACCAACAACATTGTCTTGTTACCAAAAAGTTTAACAGGGTTATTCACAGAATAACACATAGGCTGCTATGACTTATTCTTATAAATCCTCTCCCGCTGTTGTGGTATTTAAGTATGTAATCAGTTTTAACACACACTATCACATCATCTCATTATGATGAGAAAACAGCTTTTGTTATCTTTA